AAATGTAGATTACTGTTTGCCAAGTTATGTATCGCATGGTAAACCTTGAGATGTCACCTCAACTGAACTGTTAATACCACTGCAAATCTATACACTGAGCTAAGAAACAAAGAGGTCAACTAATTAGCACTGAGTCATGAAGTAGAAAGGGGAGAAGAAAGAAGAAAAATACAAGATCTTGATTAAGAGTTATTGAATCAAGAACACCACAAATTGGCTTGATTTCCACTGGGGGAACATATCACAGCTAATCGGGCTTTCTCAAATAGTTGGGTAGGAGCCTAAGGGTGCATGTCGGCCTTAGTCCAAATCCATCACTAACTTTTTGGTGTCTTCTTTTTTCTTGCTCTCTAAAATTATGTGGGTTCTTTTCTTATTTCATTTTTGTTAAGAAAATATTCTAGAGAGACTGAAGGAGCACTGAGAATAGTTTCATATTAATAAGGTCTAAAGTAAGAGTAACACCTTGGTTTTGCCTCGAAATCCAATTTGATGTATATTTATCTTGACTAGTCTAATTCAAATTTATTACTTATTAATTTGATATATGTTAATACTAGCTAGTTTAACTTCAGATTTATCATCGATTTTAATATTTTAATATTTTATATTATTTGAGATTTATTGATTGTAAATTTGCTTTTGATCTTTTTAAGTTTTTATGGTAAGCATAAATTTGGTCCAAAAACATGAAAACAAAAGCTGCTATGCATATCATTATCTTAAATGAACAGTCAGACAAACTTTTGCTATGGCAGAAAAGCTGCTAGATCATCATGTCATCTTTTTTTTTTTTTGCATTTTTATCATCTTAAATTAACAGGTAGTCAAAGCTACTGGAAACCCTGTAAGGACTATCAAGGTGATGGGAGATGATGACAATATGTTGTGTGTGTGGGAAGTGTTCCAATGTACCTTCAAAGATGCAAGAAAATGGCTTTCACATGGATACTGTTACAAAGAAGGGCACCAATGGACAACATTAGCCATGCATTAGTAAACCTTTATTGGGTTTTGGAATACCTTTTACTATGTTTGAGTATGATGGAGGTTCCCAACTGCAGGTGAAGGAGCCAACAACTTGTAAAGCCTGTGACTATTCTACCTGCCCTTCTACCACTTAAATCAACCCCATCACATCTGAAACCATCTGACAAGAAGTTCTGCAAAGTTGTAAGCCTACTACTTTCTACTGCTCCAATATGATTGCAATATCCTGTTGATCCAATTTGCACAACCAAACAATACTGTGAACTTTAAATACATCAAATGATAGACATTAAGAATTGAAGGTCTGACATTGCAGCTCACAGGGGATCCTATATGAAGAACTGTGCTCATCTGATTGGTCTATCAAGTGGTTGAAATGTCAGTTCACAAGCATTTAATTAGTGGTAAGTTCTTCTAATGCAGTAAGGCTATGTTCAAGATTCACACAAATCAACAACAAGTCAAGGTTGGACATTAAATTGATCTGTGCCACAGCTAATATCCTGCAAAATATCAGAAGTGATTGCTGCTTAGGTGTGAAAGAAATAATTGATGTGGTTGAGGGATGCATGTGAGCTGCCTCCACTGCAGATCTTTTCCTTGTGGCATAGACTATTATTTCTAATAATTGAACACCAGTTTTTGAACACAAAGGGGTCCCAATTAAAGCTTGACCGAGAAAGATCAACTGTGATGTCTGGTCAATATGTACTATTTGTCCGGCATTTTCTTGTTGTCTTTATTTATTTTCACTTATTCTACTTGAGTCGAAAAAAAAAATAATCTTCTTTGAAAATGAAAGGATAACAAAAGTATACGAAACACCCAATTAGGTTCCATATATGGGAGAAAAGGATAATGAACATATAAACAAAGATTGGAATGTAACGGATAATCCCGAAAAAATATATATCGTAGCTGATGAGTCAGCACGACTAGATCTACGGATTGATGTGAGGAGCCTTCTGCGGAATAAGCTGGATGACGAAGTGGTCGTGCCCTCGGGAAGGGGTGCTGGTTGGCGTCGGTCGGGATCCGGATCGATTGACGGCTCGCCTTGGGAACGTCAGTCGAGGATTTTCAAGGTGGGACGTTCGTGAGCCGTAGGTGGTGATGATTCCCTACAAAAATAGTCTTTATCGGGTAGTTCTCGACTTTGGCTTCTCCGACGATCAAGTCAGTAGTGGGTAGAATTCTTTCATTACCTCCGTTGGCCGGAGATCGGCCCGGGGCTTTATACTATTGCACAAGGGTCGATAGCACGTCGATTCGATATGGTCGTCGACCCTCAAGAGATGGGACAGTGCCTTTGATCAGCCGTCGTCTCGGGGCGTGCGAAGCCGCGTCAGACGGCATCGCCCCGAGCTCTCGAGATGAGATAGGTGAAACAATTTCTCGGTACGATTCTGACTTGACATGTGACGTGAACGATGAAACGTCCGGAGTTCCAAAACATGCTGTATCAGTTGGTATTTCATAGCTATCGAGCTGTAAAAGAAAGATCCTACCGAGTCAATGATTGTTTCACGTTGAACTCGTACTAAAAATATGTGGTACTAACATGTCATTGCCTTATCTTATGTAGTTGGCTGGGCTAATTATTGTGTAGTTGGCTGGGCTAATTATTACGTAGTTGGCTGGGCTAATAAAACCTTATGTTTCACTAGTAAATTGTTGCATTATAATAAGAATGAAGCTAACATATTATTAGAGGGTCATAATACAAATCCTATCACTTAATATCTTACATGAAATCTCTTATCGGAGCTAAGGTTAAATATGATATGCATTTTTCGACCAGTATAGAACCAAAACATCATACTTAAACATATAAACTTTTTAATGGATTAAATTATATTTTTATTTTAATAAACTATATATGGATATTTCTAAGTTAGAATTTGATTATTTGAGTTAGATGTTTATTTGGAGCCAATTGATATCCCTCTTCTATGTTAGTCTTAAGTTTATTTGCACCTACACTATACTTCGATAGTACTTAAAACTACGTTTCTCCTAAATTTGGTTACGATTATGATATACCAAATTCGAGATAAAATAACACATGAGATATCGATTATATACCAGTCACATGATGAGATATCGATCATGTAATATTAAGGTATGGATCATGTAATATTGACGTGTCGACCATGTAATATTATAGTGTTAACCATACCGCATTAAAGTGTTAGCCAGGTGTTGAGGTATTGATGATGTCTTTATCCGATATAAATAATTAATTTTTTTTTATAAGTATTTATTATATAAAAATTATTGAATAATATATTAGATCTATTTCTCATCATTCTACTTTTCAGATCCAACCTACTCTCACATCATGTCGTAAAATAATACGGTAAATCATGAAAAAAAAACATAAACTCTGTATATTTGTTCACTAAATTCTTATATATATATATA